ATGGACGCCGCGCGTCTGTTATTCAACACGGTCGCCGTGCATGTGTAGTAAGGCCATTTCTTCTATGCAAATGAGTTGCTAATAATAGAAAACAAAATGGCCGCCGCGCATGCGCAGTCTTGGGATTAAAGAGGCGCATATACTACTCCTAGATATGAAAATTTGTTAACTATTTCTAAAGGATATCCATCGTAATAAAAGTTAAGATTTTGTGGCAGGCGGCCCCCTTTCCTGAAAACAATTACTTTTGTTTTAGCCTTATTAAGACATAATTTCCAACGATTACAATACTTATGCAAAATATTAAGATTATCCTGTAATTCGTCTTTTGAAGAAGCAAATATTACAATGTTATATACAATTATTACAAATATTAAAATAACCGATGTCTATGCCTTTTGACCCTTTTAAATAAAACTCGTCTTCAAGATCGTTTAGATACATTGAAAATAAAAAAGGGGAAAGACTTTCGCCCTGTCGTACTCCTAAATAACTTTCGAATATTTCTTCTACATTATTATTTAATCTTACTCTAGATGTGACACAGCTGTAAAGACATTTAATAACATGATAAAGCCTACCACGAAGTCCCAATTGATAAAGTTTATACCAAATGTTTTCTGTTACTAGATAGTCGAATGCTTTTGAAAAATCTATGAATGCACAAAACAATTGTTTATTATTATTAATGATATGATTAATCAAACCATGTAAAACAAAAATATTATCAATGGTGCCCATTTTGGCTCTAAATCCCGCTTGAGATTCTACGTAAACGTAATAATTTTCTGCCCAATTTGTAAGCCTAGTATTTATTAAACGTGTGAATAATTTTCCGATAACGCTTAAAAGTGTTATACCTCCAAAGTTTTCAGCTTCCGACAGACTTCCTTTTTTATGTATAGGAACAATGAGACATTCGCTCCACTTTTTAGGAAAATACCCAAGATATAATAGTTTGCTAAAAAGATTTAAATAGAACCTTGTCCAAAAGAAATCGTTATATGTCCGGCCCTGCACATAATTAGATCTATATACCGCTTGAAAATATCTAAACGATAAAACGGTCATTAATCGTAAATTTGTCCACATAATTCTTGTTTAACTCTCATTAATATATAACGTTGTTCTCGCTGATGAGTCTTAGAAAATTGCTTTAAAATTCGTGAAAGTTTCAAAGATTTCGGTGCCTTGTACGATTCAAGATCGAAAGCAGCATTATACTGGCGTGTAATTTACGGTGGACCATATCAAACCTAATATGTTCTGTGGGATAAAAATAGCCAACTTAAACATTTTTTCCATGAATAAGAAATTCGTTTAATATTCGGTCCGGGCCTCCGCTCTTATTTAAATTCAGATCTGATATACCCTTCAAAATATCTAAACGATAAAACGGTACATCTAACTCAGAAAACATATCATTTAATTCTTGTTTAACTTTCTCATTTAAGTATATAACGTCGTCGTCAGCTTGAAAAAAATGAGTCATCAGGATTATTAATTGCTTTGAAATAATTCGTGAAAGTTTCTAAAGATATATCTTTTGGTGCCTTTGGTGCAACTGATTCCTTAAGCATTCGCCAATAAAGTCTAGCATTTTTATATTTGGCGTTTAGTAATTTATCAGTGTTTTGTTTGTCTTTTTCATAATCAAAATTCCTAACATTATTTCTTATAAATACTTCTTGCTTCTATCATTTCCTTTCTATTTATGTCATTTTATTGCGCCTATAGTTATTAAGTTTTTGATAAAAACCTTTCCTGCTATTGTCACATCTATCATTGAATTGTGTTGAATAATTGTTATTTGATTTTGAGCATTACATTTAACTATTTTCTTAAACATTGGTGAACAAACTTGATCAATACAACTAACAAAACATTCAATATTACTGTCAATATCATTACAACATTGAGCATTTTCTACAGATTGGTTTAAGTCATTTATTGTAGAAATAAACTGTTCACTATTTATTTTTTCAACATATAAATCTTTATAATCATTATTCCATTTGTAACAACTACTGAGTTCATTAAACTCTGGTTCGTTGTGGATATTTATAACATCACTAGTTGCATACATACTACCCTTCAAGGTAAACTCAATCAAACAATGGTCAGATAATAAATTAGGTTCATGTATTATAAATGATTTAAATTCAGTTAACATTTGAGTATCAACAATACAATAGTCTACAACACTTGACCCATTATATCCTACAAAAGTATAAGACCCCGACTGTTCAGGATTCCCTACCCTCCCATTAGCTATTCTAAGCCCTGTTTGTTTTAAAAAGTCAATCAGTAAATACCCATTTGAATTGGTATTTTCATCCTGTGAAAAACGAGGTAAAGATACATCAGCTGTATAATCATCTGGAAGTAAATCACAATTAAATAAAATATCAGAATCATCAACCACGTAATCGGGTAAGAGGCCAACCCTCGAGTTTAAGTCTCCCAAGAGCATAAATGTACAATTTTCATCACCATACATGTTTTGAATGTATAAGATATTGTCTATAATTGTATCGTATATATTGCTCTCAACTTGCATGTTTCTACTTAAATTTGTCGGTACAATATAACATTAACAAAGAAATAATACAAGAGTGATCAGTAATCACATGTGTCGCCTCATAATGGCCAATTTCATGTTGGGACAAATTTTGTGACAGACGGACAGACAGACGGACAGTGCACAACTAGACTTGGTACTGATCAATCATGTAAAGTTTGGATAAAATTGCACCAGTAGCTTATGAAGAGTAGTCCGGACAAGCTTTTGCGTATCTGGCAACACACAGAAAAAAACACCTTTTTATCAAAGGGCCATAACTCAGCCAAAAATCATTCAACCGGAAAACCCGTGCAATATGCGCAAGGACTTGAGCTACAGATCAATCCTGTAAAGTTTCATTGAAATTGCATAAGTGGTATAAGAGAACTAGTCCGGACAAACTTTAAAAATAAAAATTATTAAAGGGCCATAACTCTGACAAAAATCATTGAACCGGAAAATGCTGACAATATGCACAACTAGACTTTGTACTGATCATTCCTGTAAAGTTTGGATGAAATTGCACCAGTAGTTTATGAGGGGTAGTCCGGACAAGTTTGGTGACGGACGGACAGACAGACAGACAGACAGACAGACAGACGGACAGACAGACGACGGAGAAGTGATCCCTATATGTCGCCACTACTCCGTAGAGGCGACACAATAATCAGGTACGTATATATAGTTAATATATATACCTGATGGGGAAAATACCATGATTTTTGAAATCCATGCGCATCACATAATAATTATGACGTCATCCAGGCTTGATTATTATCTAAAAGATTATCAAGATAAATTAGTAAATAGAGTACATTTTCTATATACAAAAAATAAAAATGAATTTATCTATAAGGAATATAACTATAGTTTATATAAAAAAATATTTCAGTATATGTTAAAGTTGTCTGACCAATTTATTTTTTTTTTAAAATGTACTAATAAATTTTAAGAAGCTTAGTGTTTTAAATTATTTTTATAAACAGTCGGTTTTTTGTCGATCTTTTAATATTCCAAATAAAAATGGCCTTAAGATGTAATACAATAATTATACATCTTACAAATAAATACATATAAAACGAAATACAAGGAAACAACTTTATATACACAGTCAAATCGGAATAAGAAAAAACAAATAACTTAACTTTGATGACAAGATTTCTTACCACAGCTTCTGTATGAATATATTTACTTATGAAATTATTTCAATTTTAATTGTAATACAGTAAACGTAGATCTAAATAATAGTAAACGTGTGATTCGTAAGAGGTGACTGAATAGAATGAGCGGGTCAGGAAGAGCAAACAGTGCGCAGAAGTTAAAAAAATATTTAAAAGAACCAATGAATATCTTTTTTAAATAGAAACATATAAAACAAACAAAACAATTGGACAAATACAACACAGAACAAGTGACCAGTGTTCATGATATTGCACGGGTGAGCTGGACAATATACATCAGGAACAGAAATTGTGAAGTTTCACCGATTCAATACCGGAAGTTAAACATACATGGTAAAAAAAACTAAACGCAACCGAATAAACCGGATAAAAACGCGCGTGCACGATATTTACACTTAAAAGATCCTGTATGTAACCACACTTAAATATGCAAAATTTTATATTTGTATAAAATTATGCTTCGTAAAGAATTTTCAAACATCAAAGAAAATGTAAAATATGTACTGCAAATACTTGTCACATTATATGTAATAATTAAAATATATGCATTTATTTCTTATTGAAAAAATTGACATAGACTTTATAGAAAATAAATGTCTAATTACTTCGTGTTATAAACATGAAATGTAAATTCGGTAATATCTTTACAAACATTGCTTTTTGGAACTTACAATATTGATAAATCTTCATTTAAGCATTATATTTATGATATTAAACCATATAAAATAAGTAAAATGATCTTTAAAAATATTAAATAGTTATTTATCACTCGTATCATCCACGGGATTGATTGATGTGCATGTATTTTTTGACAAAATACAAACAAATGTAATGAATTTTCGGTTACATCGATAGATTATTTTCTGCGGCACATAATCAGTTTTTCTTGTAGTTGCTTGTGTCTCAAAACCTAGAAATATTGTAGATTTACACTTATTTTTACCGCAAGATATTAAGTTTGTTATATTTTCAAATTGGAAAAATCGATTATAATCTTCGAAAGAGACAATTTTCGTTTTTCTTAAACACTGTTACATTGTTGACGTTTCTGGCAATGACAATGTAAACGTCAGGATCAAAACGCTAAAGAAGTACATGTTTGTATTCATTGATTTATATAATTATTGCTGTTGGCATGAACACTTTTAATCCATAAAAGTTTCATAGTATTTGTTAGTATTCTAGTATATTCTTTTCTCAGCCTTTCTATTGTAGAATTCATAAACAATAAAATATTTAAGCTTAAAAAAACCAACCTGCCCCTTGCCGTCTTTTGATTTCATCAACGTCTCTCTTCACTGCAGTTACATTTTCCTTTATGTCATCAACGTCTCTCGTCACATCAGTTACATTTTCCTTTATGTCTTCAATGTCTCTCTTCACTGCATTATCATTTTCTTTTACATCTTCAATGTCTTTCTTCACATCAGTTACATTTTCCTTTATGACTTCAAGGTCTCTCTTCACTGCAGTATCACTTTCTTTTACGTCATCAAGGTCTTTCTTCACGTCTGTCATTTCCTGTTTTTAGTCGGTCAACATCGTCTTTATAGTCCTTCCACTTTTCTATTTCTTTCTGGATTCTTCTCTCTTCTTCCAGATCAAGAGGGCAGGTTTTGAATTTGCCGATTGTTTGCTGAATATTCAAAGCTAGAGAGCTTCGACGAACAAGTATCTAAAACCGGAAATGAATAACTTTATCATTTAAGATTCGATGTTTGATGATCTTTATAAATGTTTAGCGAAGATGTTGACCCAACAATTTATCTGTTTATGAAAATATTAGATATAAAAGACAAACGTTACTGAACAAGAGCCATGATGGCTCTATTTTTTATAAAGGCTCTTGATGACAAGGGACAATTAACACGGGGGAGGAACTGTTACACGGAGGATGGAGTTCTTATGATAATTTTTTTGGGAGTTTTTTTATAACTTTTAACGGGGGTACCTGGAAATGTTTGGGGTTTTCCCTTGGAAAAATTTTTTCTATATACAAATTTTTTGAAAAACTCAAGTGCAAAAGTTTCATTTTTATTTTAAAATGGAGATTTTTGGGGTCCCCAAAAATCAAATTTTTGAAAATTAATTTTTTGGGCCTAAAAAATTGTAGTATGTTTCGAAAAAAAAATTTTTTTTTTTCATTTTTTTAAAAATCCCGGCCTTTTTCTTTAAACAAATTTTCTTGGAGTTTTTTTTTTTGTTTTTTTAAAAAAATTTCCCAAATTTAACATGTTAAAATTTCCTTTTCCCTTTTTTAAAACCCAATTACAAAAAAGGAAAATTAAACAATTTTCAAATTTTTTTTTTGGATTTTTTTTCCGCGTTTGCCAATACCTAATTTAACCCCTTTTTTTAAAATAATTTGGGCCAGGGAAATTTTTTGCAACACAAACATAAAGCCCAAGCTAATAAATTTATACCCGATTTTTCAAATGTCACGGAGTTCTTGTGATAACTCAAAATATGTCCTGAAGATCTTATAATAACTTTTTGTTACTTCCAGTGTGTTTCTTGTGTTTATTTAAGGCACGTTTAAGCGTATTTTATTAGTCAATAAGTGTGTAAATCATTATGAACCATAGTACGCTTATCATTTGCACAAACATTTGGTTAAATAACGTTGGGTAAGAGTGTATTTTAGTTAGAGATATTTTTCTTTCCTCTCTTTTTGTAGTTTTTTTGTGTTTGTTTGTTTTTTGTTTTGTTTTTCATTTTATTGGAATGACTGAAAACATACTTGATGTAGAACATTGACTTACAGGATAAAAAAACGCTTTGAATCTAATACTCGATTTTTTTCATGTATACATTATTCTTTGCAGTTTTTAGAGAACATGTAGTAATTATGCTATCGGTGTGCCGAAACAAATTACATGTAAATGGTTTGCAGCAAAATAGGAAGACGTATGTACTTCCTTTATCTAAATTTAATGAGGTTGGTGTTATCTTTTGGTATTCAACGGATATTTTTGATGTCTTAAAAGTTTCAATTTTTGTCATAGAAGCGTACAAAGTTGATAAAACAATAGAAAGTAGGTCTTTAATGAGATATGTTAGTCACCGTAAGGTTCATGCCGTTTATCGACCTTGTTCCTTTCACTTTTAAATCCAATGTAGCATCACGTGGTGTACATAATCCCCATACGGACCATTTTACATTACGTTTTTTCCATAGCAACGTATGCTGCATTTCGCGCATGCGCATTTTTGGCGAACGGAAAAAAGGGGAAATAAGGGATGGGCTTTTAAATTTAACGAAATTTAAAAAGTTTTTAAAAAGGGGGATTTCAAGTTATGTCCCCCAGAAAAAAAAAAAATTTTTAGGATAATTTAAAAGGGGTTTTTAGAAACTTTATATGAATTGTTTTTAATAAAGCAATTAAAAAAGGAGGACTTAAAATTCAACGAAAAAAGCCCTCTGTTAAAGGGTATCATTAGGTGCCCTTTTCTCAGAATTTCCCAAATAATTAAAAAAAACAGGGTGTTAAAAAATTAAACATTTTATCACCCCTTTGTTTTAAAAAAAATATTACACAATTAGTATTCTTTTGAAAGTTGATTGGCAAGGGGTAAGTGTCAAACAGATTGACACGTGACCGGTTGTTATTTGCCATCCCTACTTAAACAAAAATTCATTCAACCGTGTCCGTTTTTTGTACCATGACATAAAAATTAAATGAAAAAATGATTTAATCGTAATTTAAGTAATTTTTATTTATACCAAATCTCAATCAATTTTATTGATTTTATGAAGTGACAAATAGTGTACGGTGACGTGCATTTTCCATGTGTTTAACAAGGAACCGGACAAAATGTGTGTTATTCCACAAACCATCTAAAAAACTTCAACAAGATTAAAAAATATTAGAATAAATAAATTTTAAATATTATGTGACTTAAAAAAAAATTATGTTTTGGCATCTAGTCCCCCCCAAGTTTGGATCAAGGATAAAATTACTTTTTAAAAAACCTGGGAAAAACTAAAAAAAGCATTAAAAATCACGTGTTTCGACTTTTTTCCGGATAATATTTAAAAAACCTCCGATTTAAAATGTTAATAAAATTTATATAAAAATGTTATATATTATATGTAATAATTTTTTTTTAATATGGATGTCTTCAACAACAATTAATTTGACTTATTTATTTGCTAACATATATATTTCCACATATTTTTACAACAATAATCTCAATGTCAGGTCAGTGACCGTGAGGGGGAATTCTTAAACAATCGTCTTTTTCCATGCCTTTATTGGGGCATCGTTTGTGTTTTCTGTTAAAAGCTATTTTATATGATTTTCTATTTTTATCTTAAACAAATTCGGGAATTGTCTATGAATTTCTACTTCATTTCTATGCAGGCATGGCTTTAGTGCCATACGCAAATTGCGCATGCGCGATAAAATAGTACTTCCTGTCATTTTTATCATAGCAACGGACCGCGTCTTAAAAAGGTATATTGCAGAAAATTATTGCATTACAATTTTTTCTTATTAAATTTTTGGAGTCCTTCGGGCATATAAATCAATTGTTGTTGGAAACTCTGCAACAAACTTTTGCTGTAATTGATACCAAAACTATATTGCTCGAACCGTGGAAATCTGTTGAAGAGAATCGGTAAAGTTTATCGGTTGATTTTTTTATGTATAATAAGATCATACATTTTTGGTGGCGGCATGGGTGTGAAAGGGTATCCCGATTATATACTGTTGTTTTAATAATAAAATGAAACAAATTACTTAGCCGCTTCTTGAGTGAAGCCCAACTGTATATTGTCAAGCCTTAGAAGGCAGTTGCTTAAAAACATGTTCGTTTGAGCAAAAAAAGTTCTTAACAATTTTTTTGCTTGGGGGTTAAAGCCATGTTTACTGGCTTCAAATACAGGGGTTACCGCTGATTCAGGTTTTTGCTGAAGATAGCCTATCACTTGTTTATCCTTTGTAGAATGGACACCAAAGCAGTATCATGTTCAAATATATGCTTTAAACAGTTTTGGGGTTTTCTGACTGCCGAATTTTCCGATAAAAAATGACAATAACCGAAAAAATTTACTTTTGAAAAATTTTAAACACACCAATCTATATATCGCATATATACTTAACGTTGGTCATCATAAAAAAAACGATATGCATGTCTGTTATGCTAACTTATAATATTTCTTTCATTGTAGATGCTGTTAATTCAGCGAAACATTTCCCAAAAAAAACTTATGACATTAAAACTATATTTTACGAAACAGTATACACAAAAACAATTAGGTGAATTAGTTCGGTTTTATAAGTATATGAAATTCGCACAAATTTAATTAGAAAATATCTTTTTAAAGTAAAACACGCTTCAAAACTAACATTATAAAACCAGTTTTCATGATAATTTAAACACATATTAAATCATAAAATACGCTTAAATATGGCCGTAATGAGCACAAAGAAACACCACTGGCGTAAACAAAAGTAATCATAAGAACTCCAGGACATATTTTGATTATCAACGAAGAATCCGTGACATTTTAAAAAAAAATCGGTTTTTTTAGCGTGGGCTTTATGTTTGCAACTCTGCATTATAATTAGGGGCATTTTAAACATTTGTATAAGTAACCGAAGAATTCACAAAATGAAAAAGGTCACAATATGTACGAATGAGGAAGTAATTTGGAAATTTTACTAAAAACTACCACATTTCATTTAAAAAAGGCGAAATTAAAAATGGCTAAAAGGGTTCTTCTTGAAACAAAATAAAATATGCAAGGGCCAGCTCAATTAACAAAGTTTAATTTTGCAACTCAAACCTCCCCATATAAAGGAAAAAATGACCAAATTTTTCACATGAGTTTCAATATAACCTAAAACTAGGTTTTTTTGTCAAATCAGTCCATCTTAGGGCAAGTTCACAGTAAGTCGCTCTGGGTCGGGTTTGTGGCGGTTTTTTTCACCCCAGTTATGTTTCTCTTGTTAAAACGTTTTTCACTTGTTAGTATTTTTATTGCATTTTTAATTAATGCCCTATTACTTGCCTATGTATTATTATGGCATTTAATAAGTGCCCTATTTTTATTCAAATACTAGAGTTGTGTTTTCACTTTTAATCCATACAAGTGTGACCCTTTGGTGACTTTCTCTAATGAGCAAAACATAAATCATAAGAACTTTCCAAACAATATATCACCAAGAACTCCACCCATCGTGTAACAGTTTTCCTTCCCTTGTGATTTAAACACTGTTTACTATAAATCAAAAAAACAGGATATCAAGTCATAATCATTTACTGATATTTACAAATGTCCCATTTCTTGCATAGCAGACTGGCGTTTCCGTGAGTTTTACCCATGCCGGAAATTTCATCTGGCATGTGGGGGTGCCAGATGAGTCGCGTTGGGCCAAAACAACAACGTCATTTTAGCGCGCTTTATTGAAATGAAACCGCCGTTAAAATGGGGGGGGGGGAAGCGTAGTTTTAGAAGGGAAAATTGTGCTAAGGATGACCGTCATTTCGGGCCGTTTGTTATTTAAGTGTAAGTTCATACGCTAAATTGTTAGAAAATAGTTATGGATGAAATGACTTTTTAATTTCCATGAAAATATATCATATTGAAAGGCTAAACCATTTTAAAATATGAAAAATATGGCAGGAAATATGCAGAAAAATATCTTTAACATATTTTGCGGTTCGGATCGGGGAATATTCGTCCCTTCTGGGGAACCCGCCCATGGGCGGTAAACTCGGCAAGGGCCTCGTTTACCGTCCAATGGCGGGTCCCCTCGGGACGAATTTTCCGGTCCGAACCGCAACATAGACAGATATTATTAAATTCTTGATAGCAGACTGGGCGTTTCCTGAGTTTTACACCATGCCGGGAAATTTCATCTGGCATGGGGGTTCCAGATGAGTTCGCGT